GCCAGCACTTTGATTGGAGTAATTTATTTTTGAACAAGAGTAGCATTGATCCAACTTTTTTTGCTGCAATAAGAGAATCAGGTAACTCGTAAAGTTGTTTATTGGTATGTTGTTGTGAGATCCTGCTACTGCCGTATTATTATAGTTGTTGCTGCTATTGCTGTTGTTGCTATTGTCGTTATTGCTTTGGTGACGGTAAATTCGCTGTTGTCTTATTCAAAATGTAAAACCTTTTAGTGTGAACACAAAATGCGAAAGATTCACCTTATAATTTGAAATCAAATTTATTTAAGCAAATGAAAATCAGTAAGGCAATAATTTAATTATTTTTAATCATTTAATTTAACTATACCTTAAATTTATTTTCCTTTATTTATCCATAAGGCATCCTTCATTGACTATATTCTTTCGACGCTATTAAAGTTGTTTTTTATTTACATTTTATTTACATATATCACCATTATTATATACGTTAATAAAATTCACCTTCCTATTCTTCTTCAATATCGAAAAATAAGTTATATTTCATCATTGTGTAATGTAATATGAACTTTATATTTTTGATCTATCATTTTTGATAGAGAAATTTATTAATAACAAAACCAAATAAATCGATTCCTATGATCTGCAAATTATCAATTAATTAACCTTAAATAAAATTAAAATTCATTAACAACAGCTAGATACTGTAATTGAGTATATAAAATGTAAATAAAATAACAAACCAATAATCATCAAATTGGATTTCGGTCGGCTTGATAAATTTATTTTAATCATCGACATTAATTTTGGGATCAGGTATTCATTATTGTATATAAAGAATGAATATTTTCTGTACATCGCATTGCAAGCGATTCGCATTCTTAAATAAGTAATTTCCTAGTTAAAAAGCTTTATCTTAATGAAATGAAGTATATAAAGATATATAAAATAGTATATAACTTAAAATAAAATCATAAATTAATGTAATTGTGAATTATAGTACTTGCTAAATATTCCTGCGTGATATATGGATTCATAAAAATAAGCCCTATTTAGTAATATGCAAAAGTTTTATCATTTAGGCGTAATATTGGGTTGAATTAATTCATTCATCGAACCATCTTAAAATTATATAATAGAAGGACAAATGCCTTACATTTGCAGATATAAATTAGGTATTTCTTCATTATCTTTTTAACTTTAGATTGTTAAAATTCAAAATATAAAATTATAATTATAAGATGCAATAAGCTAATGCTTCATACCACCAATATTCATAAGATTGCATACGAAATATGTACGAAAGTTATCTGTAATATTCTTGAATTTACCAATACACGAAAGTTTTAAGCCGATAGAATAAAATTCACGTCAAATCTTCGGAATTTTTTTTGAAAATCTTACGATATTAATATAAAATTGCCAAGTCCTTGTTCGAGTGATAATTCAGAGTTAAAACGAATAAATAAAATTATTACTTTCAAACGATCACAAAAAATTTTTAAAATTTAGTAAGAACGTTATGAAGTTAGGTATTTATTGTTATATTTTTTTTTTTTAAAAGAAAAAAAAAAAAACTTGAAATAAATAATACTGAGAAGAAAAAAAAAAGAAATAAGACCGAAATTCGTATGTACTTGCACTTACCATTTATATTTTGTGTAATACTCGCTCGATAAAATGCTTTTTTTGTCAAAGATTTTCAATGTCGCGTGAATAATATAAATAATACATCTGATATATCATAAGAAAGAAATTTAATGTTTCTGAAATTCTGTGTATATTGACATAAAACGTAATGTCTCGATGTGACTAATGAAAAGTACAGGAGCATCTGTAATACAAAGTAACATTCTGTATATTATTTGATTACAAATTATCAGCCCTGGTCTTTTTTAAAAAAATTGTCTAATCAAGATAATTTTTTTCAAAAATAAAAAGTTAAGTAGTATATGATGAATGTTGAAAGTTAGAAATTATTTTGTACATTATTGAAAAATATTTTTTTTTGATTTGTGATTACTTAAAAAAAAAAAAAAATGATGCATAATATTATATGGTAAAGCAAATAGATTTACCGTATTGAATATATAAACATCACTTTCTCATCAAATTTATTTTCACAAATAAGATTTTTTTTTTTAAACTTAAATAATATGAAAATTTCATGGAAATCAAAAGAAATTTTATTGCAGAAGGAGCATGGCAAATGCTGCCGACGCCGACAACAACAACAAAACAACAACACCAACGCCAGCACGCAGCAGACTGATGCTCAGGAAAATTAACGTTTGAGGCGAAGGTTGGTATGGCTAAGTATGCATTATAAGTTATTTCCAAAATTTGATATTACTATTACATCTCTCATTCTCATTTTTTTAGGTGATGAGATTCGCCAGGGAATTTCAATGACTTAAGATACTTTTAATCTGGCCAATTCATTGGTAACTCATTGTACATGTACTCTGAAGTTTATAATATTATCACATATTATTATTAATATAACTAACATAAAATAAAATAAAATAAAATAGTGAAATGAAATTTCCGTGCCGTGTATTTTAATAATACATTTGTGCCATAACTGATTTGTTTTCTGGCAAAGTTTATCGTCAACCATCCTAATTTGGAATAAAGTCCTACGTTCGCATTAAATTTTAGAAAAAAATTTAAAAAAACCAATATGCCTGACAAAGAATGATTTGAATCCGGAATAAAATTTCCTAATGAAGCTTATTTATATATTCCCGACTTGCCAAAAGTCCAATTTCAAAAACCTTCAAGTATTCAAATGTAATGCAACACTTAGGCGTTCGAAAGGTAGAATATAACACAATGATATTATTATTCATAATACTTAGGAAACATAAAACTCACTCATTTTTTGAACATATATATAGTTTGTTGATTAGAACTCATTTTGATCGTCTTATTAATCATATGAACTTTGTGAAATATCTTGCTTCAGAATCAAAGAATCTTAGAGATTCTGAAATAACAATATTAAAAAAGAAATGCATTTGGCCTAAAGAAGATAATGCAGATACAAATTCAGAAATTCAACGCTTTCATTATTAGTTATTTACATATTCCTACAGCAATATCGTTAATTTGGTTTACCTTAATGGATTGAAAAATTGGTTTCGCAATGCACCAGAAGGTATATATTGTCTATATAATAATAATAATTTTTTCTTTTTGCTTATTAATATATATATATGTTTATTTATTTTGTAGGAACATTTTAATTGATCTTGGTTTACGTAGCCGAATCATCTGCTGATCGATTCGTGAAAAAGGCACTTAAATATTTTATCAATAGTTTTAATGAAAAATTCTGGAGTTTATAATCCGGCTAGGTTTAAAGTGCCTTTTAACCTTGTTTGATCTCGGGTAGTTACGCAAAGCCTTCTGAGTTATCTATTGACCTGAATATACGATCATGAACTTCCAGGTTGTGCGTCAAGATATACAGTTTAAAGTGCCATAGCTTGGCGTGCGTCCATATCCTAATATTGAGGAACTCAAAAATAGTTTAATACCACGAGATGAGAATAAAGCAAAGGAAATCTTTGAATTTTTGGCCTCGCAACGGGAAAGCTTTAATTGGACGATTCTTGCTGGTCACAATTTTTATTCCAACAGAAGATAAGACTCGATGTGATGGAATTATTAAGTCCGTAATTGTTACCTTTATCGTTTTGATGAAGAAGAATGGTATATGATTTGTTTGCTTATAAATAAATATATTTTATTTACTAGGGTTAAGTTTTATATTTTAATTTTTTTTTTAGTTTATATGATTTCTTTATTTATTGATTTTGAGGAAAAAACAATAAAATTTCTGGAAAGTTGTGGTGTTAAAAATTAAACCATCAATAGAAATCGCCGAATTATTAGTGAAGTCTTCACGTGAAATTTGGAATTCTATGAATCATATGAAAAATATTTATACATTTTGAATAGCATAGTAGTCAATAAATTGAAAAGATGAAGAAAACACCTATTTTGGCTTTAAAGATTATGGTAACGTCGTAGTGGATGGTTCATCCAAGAAATATTTACTACGAATTTTTTTTTTTTTTTTTGAAAAATAAATTTTTCAAATTGGCACAGTTTATATTTAGCCTAAAGTTTCCAAGCCATTAACGTCACATGATTAAATCGCATGGCTGCTTCGACAAACGTACTTCTAAATTAAAAAAATAAACAAGTTCTCGCGGTATTAAAATATGAATGGTCGTTGATTTCGACTCCTCATCGAGAACTTCTTTATTTTTGAATCCGTTCAAATTATATTATCAGTTGATATTCAGTTATAAATATCTCGAAAATCCCATATTACATCAATGTTTTTATCTTAAAAATAGTAATAATTCAAAATATTATAACCGTTTTATATTTATATAAAAAAAACTTTATTTCTTAAAAATTTTAATTCATCCGCAACTCTTTTTAATCGTTTCTTCTCGTAAATAGAGTATTTTTACATTTTTAAGTTACGGAATAAATCATTATTAGATATTAAAGTAACAAAAAAAATAAAGGAAGGAAAGAAAGATAAAGAAGAATCATTATTCGCATTGCTTTATTGTTTTATGTAAATTTTAATACCAGATATGGAAAAAACAATACAGAAATGCAAAATTCCTTACTCCCTTGTTACTACCACTAATATAATTGAAACAGTGGCATCAAAATCTTACGGGCCAGTAGGTTTGATTAAAGATAATTAGTAAATATCAGCCGAATGTTTATTAAAAAATAACATAAAACCATTCGAGTTGATATAATTAGGCTCAAAATAGGATGATTTATCAAAAAAAATTCTTTATGAAACAAAAAAGAAACAAATCACACGTTACAATGGCCATATTTTTTTTGTGTAGGTTGTTGAGTACTATGAGTACTATCATTTTTGTTATATATTTTATTGAACGATATGAATAAATATATTTTGAAAACTTGAACTGGGCTCGCCACTCAATTAATTATATAAAAAAAAAAAAAAAAATTATTCATCTCCACCATTCCTCTAAAACAAAAAAAAAATGATAAATGTTATACAATTATAAAAATTAAAAAATTATGATAAATTATTAAAGGTCGCGAACCTCCTCTTTCGAAAAGCCTACTAAATTCCTCCGCCCGGGCCTCTTCCTCTTCTATATCACGCTTTCATACGTCGGAGGTGGGCTTTCTATGTTATTATATGGCGGTGCTGGTTCTTGTGATCTCGGTATTGGTGGTAGATGTTGTGGTTGTTGTCGTCGATATCGTCGATATCGTCGACGTCGTAGTTGTCGTTGTCGTTGAAGTTGCGGTTGTGGTGATTGTGGTGGTTGCGGTTGTTGTTGTAGTTGCGGTTGTTGTTGTTGTTCTCGTCGACGTCTTTGGTGAATGACGTTTCGTTTATAATTATGAAGCTTTCTTTGTTTACCCATGATTCTAAAGGAATAAAAATTACGAAATTGCTTTGTAATGAAAAAATATATAAGCCTTTATATATCAAAATCAATGTTTATGGGATTGACTATTTTTAAATTTCATATTACTTTCAATCAATCATATTTTTATAATAAAATACATATATTCAGGATATGGTCGTTAATTGAATTTTATATAATTATGATTCACTATTGTAATAAATGAACCGCAGTTTTACATTAATTTTTTTTTTAAAAAAAAAAAATTTGTCGTGCATAAAAAAATTGCGGTAATGTTACAAATTAAATATAATAATAATAATAATGAATACTGGCATTAGTAAAGCAAGTTTTCACATATTTAACTTAGCGTGATGCAATTTAATAATGTTTTTAAATTCTGATATTCTTGAAATTATTTTATTTTTAAAAAGATATAGCCCAATTTCACGGGATAAGATATTTTAAAAATTGAACCATTTTATTTTTTTTTCCACTATTACAATACTTGTCATTAATTTTTATTTATATATATATATTTTTTTAATGGAATATTAAATACAGTATCCCGGGAAATACTTGATTCAAAAACAGCATAATTCTGAAAAGTCTCATTAGGGTGTAGATAATAAGATATTCAATGAAGTTTAAGAAAATATTCTTTATCAAAAGAGTTGATTATTCACGTACAATATCGGATTTTCGATAGCCTAATATTTATTTCTAACATAGCTATAGGAATATAATTTAATAACAACATAAAATCCTTGACAAAGTGACGTACAGAAAATATGGCTTCATCGCTTTTAGATCTGAATCGAACGTACATAAAAAATTATAAATGTTATCAAGAATGTTATATACAGAACACAGCCCTTCACATATATTTTTGTCATCATTACAATAAACAATTCTTCTACTTATAATTAACAAAAATTTAGATCTGACTTTTAAAGAGATATGTAATTCGTGTGTATAATATAAATATAATTGATTTCATGAAAATTTTTATCTCGTATCATGATGTTATTTTAGACATTAGACACGTTTTGACAACTAACTAAATCAAAACTATATATGGTATCATATAAAAATTTACTATTTGAATTTTTTTGTAATTGCGATATAGTTTGATTTAAAGTATAATTAAAACTAGCATTTAATATTGTGTATTCCGGCATTTTTTTCGATATTTTTTTTTTGCTTATTTTTTATTAATATGCAGCAACAATTTTAGATATTTGTAAATTAACGTAGCTTTTTTTTACATATTCAATAAATTATTAAAAAAATCTGATGCACATTCTACTCCAAATTGTGGTGGCTGAATAGCTTGCAATGGGACAATTGGGCATTATATTGCTCTTTTCTTGAGCCCGTATTTTTTCAAGACCCTCCATCAAACTTGAAGCTAATCGAAGTTTTGATTGTTCAAGAGATAGTGACATGTTTGTATGAGTTTTCAGGTCTAATTTGTTAAAAAGTCCCTCGACCTGTTGTTGATGAATAACATAAAATATACGTGTGTTTTAACGAAATTATAAATCTGTACAATATAGGATTATCAGCTTTGCAAACCTCCTCAAATTCATCATCAAATTCTTTATTACACAATAATATTTCTTTTAAACCAAAAGTATTGCCAATTCCGCCAATTCCACAATTAATGTCATTTTCTAAATCCTTTGCAAATATTAATTCTAATCTCTTTTTAAAATTGTAAAACGAAAACTATTGGCAAATAAATGAGCAAAAGTTCCACCTAGATGCAAATAACTAAAGGTAAATGAAGCCATGGATCCAACTACTTTTCAAAAAATTCATAAACTTTATTAATTCCATTTTCCAAACCATTGAATAATTCTCTAAATTTTTCATTTGATAATATTTCAATAGCCTCTGATAATTGACCAGCAAAAAAAATTTCTACATTATTTTTGAAATTTCTAAGAAAATTTACATATTTTATATGGCATTTCGTGTGCTCTTCTTCCAAAAGGCAATTTATCCAATTTTCCATTTTGTATTATACATAGATTAGTATCTTGACTTACTATGAATTGTACCAATAATTCATAAAAATGTTCTGCGAAATTTACTAAGCATTTTATTTGAAAATTAATTATTAAATTAGATAACCATAATTCAAATCGAGCCATTCATTTAAATATGCTTTTGGTGTATAAAAATGATTTTTCAGCTGAATAATAAACTAATGATATTACGTCCAATTTGTAACTCAAATTAAAGCCACTAAAAATAAATAAATCTAAGACTAAACTCAAGAAATCACAAGTGAGGATTTATAGTATCATTAAAGATTATTCTCAATTTAAACACAAGTAACTTCTGGATATTTTAGAGATTACGTTTCAGTGACTATACCTAATGAATCAATGCAATATCACGCAAAGTTAATAAACAATATAAATTTACAAACAGGTTAAAGGGTTGTGGATAAGTTTTTATTTGGTTAATTATACTCTTTATTAATATGATAATAATAAATAAGTTCTTTACTCACATATATCATAAGGATCAATCTTATCTAGTGAAATATCAATCTTACTTACAGGCTTTATTTTATGCAAATTATACTTAATCACTTTGAATAAGAAATATTTGGAAAACTTTCTAATTCTACTGGATTTTCTCAAAAATTGCATCTATATAATTTCTTATATTAGGTATAGCATTTGCATGATGACTATAATTCTAGTGATAAAGACAAACTTTTAACTCTTAATGCATTAATAATTAAAGATTTGTATAATAAATTAATGGGATTTCATTATAATCAATACTAATTACCCTTTCATTCTCATTGGGATTATGAATTATAAATAGTAAAGCAATATTTAGATTGATATGAAGCTCATATTTTATTTGCTCATTGTAATGAATAAAAATTTTGCCTAGAAAAATTTTGATGATTTTAATATCAATTTTATATCCTTGCAGATCATCTTGTAAATCTTAATATCAATTTAATTTCAATTAATAATCAATATAGATCTAATATCAATTAATTTCCAGTGTAATAAACAACTTTATTAATATGATAATCTCGCTGATTAATTTTGTCAACTTTATTTTCTAGTAACATATCAATTTTATTTTTATAAATACATTTAGTTTAGTCCATTTAATTAATTATTTAACATGTATAAATATCTTTGTATTTTTATCAAGTATCAATACTAATAAATGATTCCATTAATTAATCTATATTCAAGGGAGAACTAATTTAAAGAGTATTTGTGCTAGTTTTTTTATTAAAAAAAACTATAGCTTCATTTTATTACTTGCTATATATGCTATATTATCAGTAACTCACAAGATATATTTAGTAGTATCAAGTTTATCTTCTTGAATTGATTAAGCAATTATATTAAAAAGTGTCTTACTATTATATCTTGAAATATCTTTAAGACTTGTCATAATAATAATAGGAGTTTTTTCTTTTTTAATTCATACTTGATAGTAAAGAATAAAATTTTTTATTTCTTCACAAATGGATTCATTAACTATTATTTCAAAGACCGATATATTTGCAATTTTAAAAATATAATTATTAATGTATAATTGAGAGACATCTTATGTTATGTGTATAATATTGAGATTAATAAACATTTTTGTAGAGACTTGTCAATTAAAAATTTATAAATTAATTTAGTATATTTAATTGAAAAATACATTGATGTTTCTTCTATTTATGTAATGTTAGTTGCAAGCAAATTGTATTAGAAAAATAACTTTGTTTATTAATTATAAAGAGAAATGTTATTTTATTTTTAAATGCAGCATTTGATATTGAAGATTTTTGAATTAGCGAACGAATTTCTGAGATGTGTTATGATTTTGATTGTGCAAATATTCTATTTATACTTCAAGTGAATTTGTCTTTCCAATTAACTTTTTTATTAATAATTAAGCCTTTTATTTTTTTAACTCAAGTTTATAATTTGTATCTTTTAAAGATTCATTTGATAATTAATATTTATAATAATTATAGCAATCAAATTATATGCTTTATTTAAAGATATGGTGATAAAAGTTAGCCTGTATTTAAACTTTTTAGATAATGCAAAAATGACTTACTACTAAGACTTCTTTATCAAATAATTGTTGAATTATAAATATTAATTTAATCTGTTGTAAATCATCTTCATTAAATATTACTGTATTAGATTCATACTGCTCTTTTGATTTTTTATCGATTCCAATACATTATCTTGTTATTATTCATTTATCTCATTTATTACTTCATTAATTTTTTTTTATTTCATTTTTTTTTGCTTTTGATTAATCTTTAAATTTTTGAACCTGTATTTCATGTGTTATTTTCAAATTACAGGCTTGTTTTAAGACTAGTATTATTTTCTAGTAAATTTTAAAAATTCAATAAATTATGCTATATTAATTTTATAAAATATTAAATAATTAAATAAATATAGAATAACTTTAAAAAGTCAAAATATAGATTTTTTTGAAAAGTGCAACAAAATTTTTTTCTTGTAAAATAATAGTTCAACATTTATTTTATAATTTTTATATATTTTTTTGAAAAAAACTTTCTAATATATGAAAGATTTAATGATTTATAATATTTTGCATAATTTAGAACATAAAAGATAAGTAAAATTTTAAGCTATAAAAGTGCGTAAATATATTGATTTTAATATAAAATTTATTATAAAATAATTTAAATTATAGTATAAATTAATATGAAAAAAAATTCAATAATAAATATTTATATAATACCATATATAGTTTTACTTTATAGAAACCCTTAAAATTCTAATAATATCTATGTCGATTTGATATAATAATGATATCACATCGATATGGAATCAATATTGATATTCATATTTTAATGATATCGATTTGATATCGTTACGATATTATCGATTCGATGTCAATACAATATGGTTACTATAAGATTAAAATATAGTTAACGATATCGAATCGATAATATCTTAACGATATCGATTTAATATCGTTACGATATTATCGATTCGATGTCAATACAATATGGTTACGATAAGATCAAAATATGGTTAACAATATCGAATTGAGGTCGATGCATATCGAATCAATAATGTCATAATGATAATGATTCGATATTGAATCGTTATCGTAAATGTATGAACTCAATGTAGAATCCTTATTGTTACGATATTACAAATGATATGGATTCAATGTAGAATCCTTATTGTTATAATATAATAAATAATATGGATTCTACATTGAATTCATATTGTAATGATAACAATTTGATATCAAATCGTTATCGTTACGACATTATTGATTCGATATCGCATCGACCTCGATTCAATATTGTTAACCATATTGTAACCTTATTGTAACCATATCATATCGACATCAAATCGATAATATCATAATAATATTGAATCAATATCATTAAGATATGAATATCGATATCGATTCCATATCGATGTGATATCGTTATGATAAGAATTTGATAATTTATGAAATATATTACAAATTTGAAAATATTAT